ATCCAGAGTGAAAATGATCTTCTTAAAAATGTAATACAAAGCTAATCTGTTATACAGATAGCGCAAAATGAAGATCTGAACTAAAAGAGATCTAAAGGAAGATAACCTAATCAAAATTGTTACAATCATGACTGAATCTATAACTGATACACTAATTATATTATTTGGAATCACATATTATTCAAAGATCAATTGATTGGTCACATTTTTCAAGTTTGAAAAATTATGAAATTAAAGAAATTTATGTTACTATGGTAATAATATGAAATATATAAGTCTATATATAATTTAGATTGATTAATAAAAGTAATTTCCTATAAATTTACTATATTTTCAGATTTTATATAACTTTTTAAAAAAATATAATTATGAGACAAGCTTATATGATTATAAAAGAGAAGATTTTCTATTATCTATTATTATATTTATTAACTGTGATTAATATTATAAAAATTTGTAAATTTCAGTTAAAGTATATGAATAAGAGTCAATTAAATTCAAGAAGATTATTCTAGAATCAATATTCATTTTTGATATAAGTTCTGATACTTGATCTAATGATCAAAATGTAACTTAGTATAATAATAATGTAGATCTGTCACCTGAAAATCTGAAAATAGAATTCAGGGATGACATAAATAAATTGAGAGTTATGAAAATTATATCAAATATTTATATGCAATTATGATTGATATTAAATTCAAATTTTTCAGAGAAAAATTATTTTCTCAAGAGAATAATAAGTAGATCATTAACAAATTTTTTATTAATAAAGTAACCTGTTGTTAATATGAACTTTTTAATGGGTACAAAAACTTGATTAGTATTAATTATTAATAGAATAACAAATATTAATTAAGAAATTATGTTATAATTTTGAAATTATATTATATATTTTTGAATTATTTTAACTGGAAATTATTTTTGAGACAATATAAACATTTTTTTTTAAACTTAGACTTTGAGAATAGCCAAATATTCCTAGTATTTTTGAAGATTTTTAGTTTTTAATTTTTCATTTAATATACTATAAGTATTAGCACTAGAAAGCCTTTAGAATAACTTTGATTCCACTTAACATTATAAATAATTCAGTCTATATTCCAACTCATCATTATAAGCTATATTTCAGATAAAACCTACCTTCTTAAATATGGCTTTTAATAATATCTTTATCAATAAAATTTGTATTCAGAAAGAAATGAATTTGAATTGGTAAAGAGAGAAAATTTGTTTGATATGAAATTGATTAATTGGTTGATTGAACACTCAAATGTAACATCTCGAAGAGTTGGATTGTTGATTTTTTTGTTATTCTAAACATTTTAAGATATAGTTATCAATTTTTTTAATGAAAAAACCGCGATTTAATTTCGATATTCGGATTTTCGATCGGTGAATTCAAAAGTTATATACTAATTAAAGACTGATTTTAGAGTTAGTATCAAGATTAAATTTCATGATAAGATTAAAAAATTACGTGACGCATTTTGTAATGTGATTAGAATTAAAATTACGCATTCATCTTTATTTGTAACATAAATTTACAATAAAAATTCAAATTAAAATTAAATAAATCTATTACTATTAAAATCTACTCTAATTAATTAATCTCGATACTTTTCAAAAAGTTCACGATGGAATTTACGTATCCCCTCACAAAATTCATCAAATAGTTTTTCGGACGGCAGGAAAGTACTTCGGAAATGCCAAGTGCTAGACTTTTGTCCGAATCCACTACCGGGCACTACACAGACGCCAGTAGCTTCCAACATTGCCAAACAATAAAATTCGTCGGGCTGTTTCTTCGCAACATGTGCAGCTTTTATGAGCTTTTTGGGTAGACGGATTGTAGGGAACAAGTACATTGATCCCTTAAAATCACAAAAATGATAGGATCAAAAGATTAGGTATTGTATTGCATTATTTGTTAATAGACATGATTTCTTTCACCGCAATGAGAAGATAGTTACCTGAGCATTATTACAAGTGACCCCCTCCAATTCATTAAAGCACTCTGCCAATTTTCTGCTACGTCTTTTTAAACTCTCATAAATCGCTGTTATTTCTTTGATATATTGTTCATAACTCTCTTCACCCCGCTTCGGAGGTCTTACCATCAAATCAATCATAATCTGACCAGTAACGTTCGGACACAAACTGACCGACGCAATCTTGTACAATTGTTCAACTACCTTTGGGTCCATCCCCGTTAACTCCAAATACCCACCACGTTGACCACATTCGCCAATCATCCCCTTGGAAATGGAATGAAAGGAGACAAGTTCGAAATCTTTGTACGCATCACCCATCGACCGTAGCACCTTTTTGAACGAGTGAAATGGGCGCGTTTCCGGTTGATAGATATTTGTCTGGTATACTTCATCAGCAATTAATAAAATTCGTTCTTTATGACAGAAATCGATTACTTCTCGCATATTTTCTAGAGGAAGACATTGTCCGGTGGGATTTCCGGGGTTGATGATGACTAGCGCGCGAACATCTATACCGTTTTCACGTGCTTTTGATATGGATGAGTAAAGTCCTTTAATGTCAAGGCTCCATTCTTGCTCTTCATCTAAATAATAAGGCACCGCTTTTGCATTAAATAATGATATTGTTGCAGAGTATAGAGGATATTGTGGAATGGGAATCATGATGCCGACGTTTGGATGTTCGATAATCAATTGAAGCATGCTTTGAACACCACTTGATGCTCCATGCGTTAGAAAAATAAGATTCGGATCCGATGGATAACCATCTCGTTCTAAATTATTATCGAGTTTGCGGATGAGCAATGATGATATAAAGAAAGACAAGTTCATAATTTTCATCTGATCAGACTAACCTTCGATAAACTTCGCCACATTTTCTCTAATGTGTGAGATACCCTGAGAATGGGAATAGGCACCAACACTACCGATATGCTTTAGTAGTTTCTCTGCACGTTCTATAGCATCCCTCGGATACAAAGCTTCGATTTTGGAGCGATTTTCTGGTAATAAGAGATCCGGGTATTGTGTCAATGAAGCGACCTAAAGGATCCGGCAATTTTTTAGAATACATTATGTTCTATGAATATCAAACTTGTGTAATAGATAATAATAGGAAACGATCATAGATACTAACCTGACGAAAGAAAGTGATTGGTTTTTGATTTAATTGTTGAGGATTTCCAATGTTACAATGCACAATGTTTTTAAATGCATATTTATTGTGAGGCTCCAAGATTTCACGCGATATATTGTCTGCTCGGATCGCGAGTTCCCCGCGTACAGCGTATTCAACCTTTTTTACATGTGGATTGATGTTGTCGACAGTGAGAATTTTGCCCAATTTTTGTTCTATGAGGTATTTTATGGTTTTTCAGGGGAAATTAAAAATGGCTGTGTAAATTCAACGATAGTAACATCGTGAATGTACGTACCTTTTTTATCCAGTCCGCCACCATTTACAACAGCAGAGCCACCCTCACTACTTGATGCTGAATAGTGGAACATGATTTTAAGAGGAAGCGACGAGGATAAATTAAACCTAGAATAAATGTTTGTGCTCTTTGTGATGCTTGTAATAATGTTATTGTTACTGGAAATTATTGACGATTTGTAGATGCTACCAACTCGTGATGGTGATGATATTTGTCTTTGACGTGGTGAATGTGTAAATGAGTTGGAAATAGAGTAAGGAGAATAAGACGACGAGAATGAATAATGAGGACTAGAGGTGAATAACTTATAATAGAGTTTCTTACTATAATTCTTATTGTTTTTAGTAGCGGTTACATTAAGGAACGGGTGGTTTCCTGCTACCTTTTTTATAAGAATTTTGCATCCTTGGATGATCATTAAAATTAATTATGATTTTTATGGAATAAATTATTTTTTCGTGTCGCGTCGAGACACAAAATTCTTTTAGTTTTGGGTGGGACTGGGGACTGAAGTGTGAAGTATGACGTTTATTGAACCTGATTGATTCTCGGTCGCATGATAAAAAATATTTGTAAGTTTAATGTAGGATGATGTGAGGTTTTTTTTAAAGACATTGATGAATGGTGAAAAATGCGTCATACATCACAAAAAATGGAGATTTTGCAATGCTCACAAATATAGGTTTTGTACTACATAAACGTATAATAACGTGGTAATTTCATTCAGTCTACCCTTTTTTTCTTTGATATTATTATAAAACATATATAATATGTCACAACCGACCCCACGTGGTCGTAAAGCTCCGCCGGAAGAAGAAGATGCCGCGAAACTTGCATTCGGGGAAGGTTTGTATCGTAATACGTATTCATCGGATGAATTATATAATTTAATTCTTGAGCTACGTAATTGACATTAAATTATAATCCCTAGATTTTGAGCATGCAGAGTTCTTGTTCATTTCTGAGGCAGCGTTACTTTTGGAACGTACGCCACCAGGACAAGCTCAAACTAGGTAAAAAGTCGAAAGATCTGAGATAGATCAAAGTTAAATCGTTATCTATGGGATGATTTTTTACTTTCTTACCCAAATAAAATTTATCGAACCACTTTCGCATAATAAAGTAACTTTCAAAAAACACAAGCATATGTAAACACATTCAGTAAATTTCACAATCAAGAAGCAGTGACCGAACTTCGAAAGTATGTAATCGTATTTTTTTTAATTTACCCGATTCGATATATACATATACACGCATATACAAATAATATACATGCATGTATGAGTTAGCTAATTTAAATCGACAATCTATAAATGAACACAAAAAAGAACCTTACTCAAATACAATATCCACAAGTACGAATTAGCACAATTGGCTAACTTGTGTCCGGAGGAGGTTGATGAAGTGAAGTCATTAATTCCAAGGTAAGTTTGTCAGTCATAATATGTTATTCTGTCCATCAGTCAAACCTTGAATTATTATTATTATTTTTATATTTACTAATCCAAATGTGTACACGGAATAAAATCAAATATCCGACAAAATTTATTTACTGTGAATACATATTTTTTATGTGATGACGATGGATCACCATTAATTTTTATTTGCCAGCCTCCCACATAAACTCGAAGACGAAAAAATTCGACAAATATTGGATGAGATTGCTGCTTTGAAAAAGTATCAATCTCAATGAGCAAATAATTGCTTGGCTGATTGTTTGGTTGATTGTTGGGTTTATTGTTTGGTTTTTTAATGGCGGATGGATTGATCAGATTGGTTGGTTGTTAAGACAATTTTGGTTATTTATTTATCGTTCTACAATGAGCACGAACGAAAAGAATCCATATGGAGGATTTGTATAATTTAAGAATTTTGGCTATAGATTGATAGCATGATTTTTATTTATGTTTATTATTGTGGAGGTAAGAGCTTGTATGGATTCATTATGCCTAATGGATCTAAACTTTGCTTAAATGTTTTCATTAAATTAATCATTTGTGGTGATTTCGAGTATCCAATATAATTGGGTTTCATCAAGCCAAGTCCATGTTCTAGTAAGAATATAGAATGATAAAATTAACAAACAATGATGTTTAATAATATAAAATACCAAATTGTATGAAATCAAAATTAATAAAAATAGTACCTGCGGAAATCGATCCTTTATGCTTTTCTGTTAAAATAACATGCATTAAAACAAAGGAAAATACAATATTATCCGTGATAATCATAATAATAGTTCATGTACCTGTCCACTCATACACGTAAGGCTCAATCAACTCGGTTATTTTCGGATCATAATGAGTGGCCGTAATATTCAAATGTAAATTCCCTATACAAAAGTGTAAAAACCGAATTCGTTGATGATAACTCAAGTGGACCAAAATCTGACAAAAATATACCAACCATCTCCAACATGACCAAATCCAATAACATTGGTGACCGGCTTATTCTCACCCAGCATATTTGCCTCCACCAACCGATTTTTCATGTCTTCCACCATCTGATATAGAACCGGGACAGGCATCGATATATCGTACTTGTACATTGCGCCTGCCTTGCTGATTGCTTCTGGGATATTTTCGCGAAAAGACCAGAGATCTTTGATTTGGGTGATATCTTGTGCTAGAACTCCGTCTTGGATTACTTTTGTTTCTAACATGTCTTCAAAGAATTTTTCAAGTTTCTGATAATTTCGATTTTTGTTTAGCTGTTGATCCTCGGATATAATAATAAGAGCCAAGTAAAAAATACCTTATCATCATGCTCCTTGTTCGATCCATGCGTCTCAACCAAAACGTAAAATTGATATTCGCCTTCGATTGGGAATTTCTTAGGAGAATGACGTTTTAAAAGATTAAGTGATTCTAGATCCCAAAATTCGAAAGCTAAAAAGATAATATTATACGTTATCACACCAAAATCACATGCATATTAATAACAAAATCCAATAAAGCCAAATAAGAAGATACCGGACAAAATCTCCACTAAATATTCTTTAGATTTTATGAACATGTCTTGCACTTGTTGGAAGGAGTTCAGTCCAAATATAGCGACATTAACCGCCTATTTGGAAACAAACTCAAGGTATTAATAATAATAAAGAGATAAAAAAAATATATAAAAAATCTAAAATAAAAAATGCCTTTGGTTTTTTCGGTGTCCCGATCGAAATCCCGGTAATAATACCAAGTGTACCTTCCGAGCCAATAAATAATTGTTTAAGATCATATCCTGCATATATTGCAATCGTTTACTTATTCGAATTAATATAACATATACACTACGATAAGAATGCTGACACACTTGCCAGTATTATCTTTACGAAGACCAGATAAATTATGTAGAATTGTTCCATCTGGAAGCACCTATATATAAATAATAAATCATTTGATTTCAAAAAAAAAAAATGAACAATGCACAATTGCACAAGACATACCACTTCCAAGCCTAATATTGAGCCATGAAGTGATCCATACCGTAAAAATCTAAGTCCGCCTGCATTTGTGGCAACATTTCCGCCAATATGACAACTATCATTATCAAAAATAATTATGTCTGTTTTAATATTTATGCCCAATTCCCGCCAAAAAAAGGATCTAAATATATTTTTACCTGCCCTTTGCACCCAAATCTAAAGGCATCATATACCCACGCTCAGCAGCATAATTATCAAGTACTTCAAGAATACATCCCGCGTCACATGTAAGAACTCCTAATAGCATAAATAAATCATCAATGAGAAACATTATTTCCATATATATATATGAATGAAGAACATTGTATATTACCTGATATGGGATCAAAATCTCTAATCTTATTTAAATTCTTAGTGCTCAGTATTATCTCATCAAAGACTGGAACTGAGCCACCTATATCATGTATCCGAAATAATCGAATAAATGAAAATAATCCAAAGATAAGTTGACATTAATGTTATATATTTTATTCGACTAACCAACAAGACCAGTATTTCCGCCTTGCGGAACAACAGCCAATCTATTACAATAACCAATAAATACATTTAATGAATATTATAATTAACATCAACAATAAAAAAACGCGTCCTTAAAGTATACGCACACCTGTTCTCGTTACAATATTTCAATATAGCTGCAACCTCCTCGGTGGACTTCGGTTTAACAACAAGACGTGACTTGCCACGATATTTGCGCATCCAATCAATATTATACGGTAACAAATCATCGGTATTCTTTCCATTGTCATCGAGGAGAATTCCGCTTGGAGAAAGAATCGATTTGAAAAAATCAATATCGCCAGTTGATAACTATCAAAATAAAACAATGTCAATTTCCATTTAAGCCAAAAAATTTTTTTGTTTAAAGAATGAAACCTCTTTGAAATTCGGATTTCTTTTGAACTGAGGATATTTATCAATAGTGTAGTTGACTTCTTTTTTATTTACTGCTGATTTCGGAGTTGTTTCCGCCGTTCCTGTCACTTCTGTAACGTAACCACGACCATGACCAGTATAATATTGTATTGAGGATAGTGGTTTGGGAGAAAGTATGGAACGCTTAACTTCTTTTATTCTAGCTTTTATTAAATTCCTTTGTAAAAGGTTATCAACCTTTCGAAAGTGGGTCTTTACGTACATTTATTTATGAAGAAAAATTTGAAGTTTTTCCTAGATTCACGTGAAAGTTGGATTTTTTTAATTCTTTCTGAATTGACCCGCAAAAATGTCCGCCGTCAACGTCTTTCCTAACGGTCAAGCGGTTATACTTGCGGATAAAGCACAAGCATTGGCGCATTACCCACACGCCCGAGTAGCAGGTGGTTTGATTTTCGTGTCGGGGATATCTTCGCGAAAGTTGGATAATACGTGAGAAATTTTTAATGCGAATGGAGATAAATAATTACACGTTTTCTCTTTTTTTTTTTGAATAATTTTTGTTGAGAAATAGGATGAATTCTTCTTGTATAGATATGAAGGGGTAAATCTCATTAAAAGTTAATTAATCCGGTAATTTTTCACCGTATATATCTTTTATTAACTACATGATTTTTTTATTTATTTTGAAAAAGGTAATTGAATTACCAGACGGCACACTTCAACTAGACATTCGAGCACAAACGCGAGCGGTTCTTGACAATATCAAGGGGATTCTCGAATCTGTTGGCGCGTCATTAAGAAATCTAGTTGATATTACCGTGTTTCTCGTGGATATGGGAGATTACGCGGCGTTTAATGAGGTTTATAATAAGTATTTTGAGGCGGAGACTGGACCATCCCGGACTACTGTCGCTGTCAAGCAATTACCTTCGGTTAGTAGCAATTATTAATAGCAGTTTGATTATGTTTAAATTGAATTCTGATTTATTTAATCGAATAGCCAAAATTGTTGATTGAGATTAAAGCCGTTGCATTGGCACCGTGAAGCATCAAATTATTCAAATTTTGAAATAAACTCGATGATTCTTTTATGCAATGCTTCAGTCTCCAAAATTTCATCGTGTTTTCCGAGTAAATTAGTTTCAATTTCCACATAAACGCCACCCTCATCACAAATATGTTGATGATAATTACGCGACTGCTCAAAATCAACAAGCCCATCTTCATACGAATAGATAATTAAATAGGGAGGCGGGGTTCTTTTTTTCACATGTTCATCATTGAATCTTTTTAACGAACGGTATTGAGGCGATGCGTCTTTATAAACTTTTTCGTCTTTACCGAACGCAGCCTCAATAAAATCAATATAAGTAGGCCATATGGTTAACAATCTCGGAATATCGTAAATTCCTTCCGTTCCTATGACGCCGCGAATTCGCGCGTACACCTCATCATCAATATATTCTGGGCAAAAGACAAGTTGTCCAGTCATAAACGCACCAGCACTATGCCCCAATACATAGATTTTTTCGGAATTATAATTAAACGCGTCACCTTTCTTAGAAAGAAATTTTAATGCACTGGCAACATCCCTTATGTGTGCTGGGTGTTTTATCCCGTCGGGAGTAAAAGTTTGTGGGTTTAAACGATAATTAATTACTGCGACTGCAATATTACCAAGTTTTGAAAGTTTTTCAGCGGTCAAGGCGTGTTCTTTTTTGTCTCCTGTACGCCAGGCACCGCCGTGTATCCACACTAGAAGTGATGGAAGATTTGTCGTGGTTGTAGTTATTTCTTCATTGGTATTATTACGATACTTACTTTGTGGTGGAAGATAAAGGTCAAGGGTATGAAATGAATTATTTGAATCTTCTATGTAAGATATTTCACGATGTATTTTGCATAAAATTTCAGACATCATTCCTGAATTTAGCCAACAAATGCAACAAAGGTTTTTTTACTTTTATATAGAATAAATGATGACGGATATTTCCACTTTTAGCTAGCCTTTTATACAAAAGATTGTTAATCTAATTAATGGTTTAATAACAATTTAATTAATTCTTGCAAAGCAAATTCCACAGCTTGCTCGCGTATAAATAAACGATCACCGTTAAAGGTTTTTAAATGGGTTTGGATATCAAATCCTTTACGAGCCCAAGCAAACCATACGGTGCCTTGTGGCTTCCCCGCTTCCCCTCCGGGTCCCGCAATTCCGGTTACGGCAACACTGATATCAGCTGCGCTATGCGTTAAAGCGCCTTGTGCCATTTCCCTAGCAGTTTGTTCACTAACCGGACCATAGATATTCAGGGTGTTATCGTGCACACCCAGCATTTGCTGCTTTGAAAGATTGGAATAGGTGACAAAGCCACGTTCGAACCAACCTGAGCTGCCTGGTATCATGGTAATGGTTTCTGCCAATTGACCGCCGGTGCAAGATTCAGCTGTGGTCAATTGTAATTGACGTAACTGGAGTAGTTCACCCAGTTGCTTAGAAAGTTTATAAATTTGATTAACCATGTCGTCAAAGAAATCGCGGTAGATGTGTATATCTAATTCAACCTATATCTAATGGATAGAATATTAATTCAGGATGCTTGAAAGCGAGTGAAGTTCTTGTATAGAGGACTGGGGAAGGATTAGGGCTAAAAATGAAGACATTGATTGCATCAAGCTTCACATGCACATGATACTCAAAACTATTAGAATATTAAAAATAAGGATGTATCCGATAAGAACCGATATTAGAAGTGATTTATTGAGATTTTCAAAATCAAATGATTTTGCGCAAAATAAATTAATCAAATTATCTTTGGGGTATTCTCGCGACATTATTCCTTGTATGTATAAAAATCCACGATAAAAAATGTTCATTATAAAAGTTATCGGTATATATTGTACGTAGGTGAATTTATTTGACGAATTTTTAAAAAATGGATAATTTTCACCGCACAAAACTTAATCACCACCTTATCTTGTGCCATCATTCATTTCCCCTCTACAACTAGCCATTTCAGCCCCACCTGAGACAAAATTATTCACACGTCATAATTAGCATGCAATTCAGAACCTAACCAACGTCCCTATGCTTGACGTCATTTGATCGTATAAAAAAATGTGAGTAATGTAGAACTGAATGAGCACGTAGAACCTGGCAAGCATTTTCCCAATGCTAACATTAAATAGTATCGAAGGTAGAACTTCGTTTTGTTGGCTAGATTCTAATTCACGTGATTAAGTAACACATAGTTACGCGCGTTTTTGGGAAATTCGTCACTACTATCGTTATTAAAAAACAAAAATGCAAAGAATTTCTCGTATATTATTCCAAAAGAACAATGTCATCAAGAATACAATGATATTTTCTATCTGCAGAAATATCACTACTACTAACACTGCTATCGCTATTCCTGCTGCATCGATATCATCTTTATCAAAGATTTTTACTCCATCAAATTTCCATACTATCACGAAAACAGGGAATTTCACAAAATTATCATCATTAATGTTGATAAGGAGACCGATTGTGTCCTTAACTTCAAAAAGAAATAATTCAAATTCTTTATTAACATCATCGTCTTTATTAAATTCTCTTTCGTCTGTTAACAAGACCAATAAGAATAACGGGTGGAGATTGATTCCCGTACGTCATGCATCTTACAGAAAATTAAAAACGCATACCGGCACTAAAAAACGGCAAGTAAAATTCTAATTAATCTGTTCAGATAATGTAACATGCTTTTTTGTTTTTGACATCTCGGTTGATTAGATGGCGCGGACTGCCAGGCGGTATATTCCAACGACTGAAAACCGGTAAACAGCATTTGAACACCGGTGTATCGCGTAGCCGCCTCAGACGTTTATTGAAACCTGCATTTGCAAATAGAACTCAACGATCTAAACTTCTACGATTAATGCCATACTCGAAAACTATCAAGAAAATGCGTAGATTAAGCCCCGCTGAGATTTTTTCGAACGTTAATGCACGATGATTATTTTTTTGATTGTTACAATTTGAGAAGCTATTATATTTATTGAATATGTCAAAGGTTAACAATAAAAAGGATCTATTTTTCAAAGTTAAAATGTTGAATCTACTCGATCTCGTTCAAATTTGCGTTTGACTTATTTTATTTTTATATAGTGTGTATAAGGTATAATTTTTGTCTTAGAGACTACAAACAACGAAGATATTTAATACAATTTTTGAAGCTACAAGACTAAAATAACATACAAAAAACTGAGGACCGAATCTAAGAATTTTTGTATGATAAAAAGCAATATTCCAGCGAGGGACCAATATCAAACCATCATATGACAAATGAGAGGCTTTATCGTTATATTATACGCTTGTCTTTAATTGTTCTAATAGGAAGAGCTATTAAATTTTTTCCGGTTAATCAATCCGGTTAATCAAATTTTGCATTAATTAACGGAAAGTATGATCACGTTAAAAGATTTCACATTTTGAATAGGTATTACCATCCCGATCTAATCAAGATGTTTCTTGGACTTTATCTTATCATCATTTACCTCAATTGTATGTGTGGAATGCATGCTAAATGAGAGAACAAGAAGAGAACCCGAGTTCTATTCAATTTAGTCGTGTATATTCCTTGTCCTTGCAATTTTTATAACCTCATTTTTTAGAAGTTACAGAGATAGAGAACAAACCCGATCAAATAGTCATCAATTTATAAGTTGACCGAGATAATTGACCGCACAGTATAACAAAAAGTTTATCCCAATTTTTTTGATGCAGTATCATGCACACTTAATTCTGAAAAATTTATTATAAGCGTAAAAGAAGATTAGCTATTCAAAAATGTGAAATGATTAAATAATTTGTGTACTAGGATTTAAAAGAGTGAATGATGATATAACTAGCTAGGCAATTCATAACGAGTGATATATTAAAATAAATTTGCTGTTGGATAAGTTGAAAATATTGCTAATTAATTTACAAAGGTGCGAAAAGGGATTGATCCATCAACCACCGGATAAAAAAAAATGATTCTATAATAATAAACTAATTAATAATTAATAAGCACGTCTAATCATCTACCAATGTTCGTAATGCGGATTATAAAATTTCCATTTCCAGAATGTAATAGAAGAATAAGGTGTTTTTTTTGTGTACATATTATACATATGATATTGTTATTTGTTGTTGAAGATGATGAATAATGTTATAATCATAGAAAGGTGAATTTTGAGTTTTCCGTTGTTTCTTCATCAGCTGGTGGAGATGATCTTAATACCGAACGAGTCAAAGCATCAATGAATGTGAATGACCGCCGTTTAGGTGGAGTTGGTGGCGTATTATTAATATCATCATTGTCAACATTAGTAAAAGTATTATCTGTGTTAGATGTACGTAGTGGTTGTTGTTGTGCCAAACAGTCTGTTGTTTTCTTAGAGCTGCTCTTTGATCTGAAGTCAAGACTTCGTGTGGAGAACTGATCATCAATTAGAGAGGACGTAGACGACGCCAAATTCGATATAGAGCTGCTCATTGGTTTTATAGCACTCATCGACATGATTTGACTGTCTCGGATATTCATTGAATCAGTTCGTCGACGATAATGACTGCCAATTTGCTGAGGGAAATTTTCCAAATTTTCAACATCCAACAAGTAGAATTTGACTCCATTTGGCAGATCAAATGGATTGGATGTTGGATCCTATCATAGAAATAATTATAATCATAATGTTAAAAATATAAAAATCGAGCCATTGTAAAAAGTTATTTAGATTATCGATTATTTATATACCGATTTATCCACAACATGCTCGGCCATCCCAGTTATTCTCGATACGATCCATTCTCGTTCTTTCGTTTGGCTGTTAATCGAATCGTTGGTTCGTAAGAAGTAATGCGGAAAACTGATATTAAAAGCGGCCCATGGTTTAGCTGTTGAGTTTCTTGTCGGTAGGAAAAGTGCCAAGTCACCGACCTTGAAGCTGAAAAATTTAGACCAAATGAATACGGTTAAATACTTTATATATAGGTTATAAGAAAGGCCATTATATATATATATTATGATTAACTTACTTTCGGAAGGCAATCTTATCCCTCGCTTCTGCCAATGCTTTTATGTGTTTTTCTAATATAACAAAATTTATCGTCAATATACATCAAAATGTAAATACTAGTAATAACAGAATATAGAGCCAACAGTTCTAGATACCTTTATAAGTCTTGTATCCCTTTTGATATTTTCTTGCCAAGCTTTCAGCCTCTTTTGGCGATCGACGTAGTAAGTCTCGTACTTCTTCAAGATCAACCTTTTGGGCCAACGTGATCAACAATTCATATTTATCTTTTGGCCACTCGTTTTCTAGATCTCGTTTTTCATTATCGTTATTAGGATCGTTAAAGAACTGATTCAAGTCTTCAGCAAGATACGAATCGGAGAGGGTCTGTTCAGGCGTTTTCGATCTTTCATCATCGCTTAGTTCGGTAGTCTTTTCGAACGGCGGCTTTATGTTCAGATTTATCGGAATAGCAACTTGCATATCACTCATTAGAGTTCTTATATGACTGTAATATTCCCATAATTCTCTACTCAACAAGTGTGAATAGAAGGTCCGTTCTTCCATATCAGTTTTTAGTTCATCGTAACTTTTACATGTATTCTCCAATAACTTAAAACAAGATAAAAAGTGGAATATTAGATCTTTATGATGGATTATTTATAATTTACTAAAGGAACTATTTATTACCTGCCGCTGTTCCTGAAATTCTCTATTGAGTTGATTTAGAGCGATCCCGAGTTTTCGTATTAATTTTATTGGATTGATGTTTGACGAGGGCATGATCTATTAAAATATTTTTTTTTAATTATGCTTCAAACTGGAAGCAAATCACAGAATAATATTGTGTTTGATTTTACCTGCTCAGAATCAGAGGAACTACCGATATTTGAAACTACAGTTGGCAGATTCTGTAGTATGGATTCTGTTATCTCTTTGACGAGCTGATCGTTCTAATGATCGAATAATCCAAATAGACAAAAAAATTAATTAGAAAAATAATTAATGACAACAAAAAATATCAACAAACTAACTTTTTGAAGAGCTGCTTGATAATTTGTGTTTTCGGCTCTCAACAATCTCGACACTTTATCGAGCTAAATAATAATTAAAACAATCAAATAAATATACTATTTATGAAAATTATCAAACAATTTATAATTTATAGTTATTATATGTACTTGTTCACGCTGCAACTCTGAATTCATCAAATCGTCTTCAAGTTGTCCAACTCGTTCTTGTGTTTTTATCAATTCTTCTTGGATCATCTTAAGTTTCTCTCTTGTCTAAAAAATATTAGAAACATAGAACAAATCATCTAACTGAATAAAATTTCATACTGTTATTAAAATTAATAACGCTAATCAATAAATACCTGGGCTTCAATTTCGCTTTCAGTCTTTACTTTGAGTTTCAACAAGTCAATTTCTGCATACAGTTGATCTCGATGTGTTTCATATTCATTAAGATTTCGCGCCAGCTGTTTCATAAAATAACTTGATTTATATATATATTCTTATCAAATACTTTAAATATAAATGCAAATATTATCATATACCGTTTCATTCCAATCTTGATCTGCCGAATCCAAATTTTCCTGAAGATTTTTGATTTCTTTTTCGTATCTCTCACGATCTTTTTTATTTTCTTTTTCACAATCGTCAAGCTATACATAGAATCCAATTAACTTTTATAAATACATGAAATATAAGTGTGATAGAAAAAAGGTAGACAATACAATACCATTTCTTTACTTTCATACAGCAGTTTCTCGTAACGCTCTTCAAGTTTTTTGAGTTTGTCCGTCAATTCTTTTTTGACCGTTTCATGTTCCTCATGCAACTTATCATATTGCTGATCAAAACCTTCTTTCATTATCTGTGTGTTATTGTGAAGATCTGCTAGCTGTTGTTCCAATCCATTTTTAATTATTTCGAAATTCTCATTTATCTTTCGTGATTCGGCATCTGCTTCCTCGTACAAGACGCGTATATGTTCTGCCTGGGCAAGGTTCGCCTCCAAGTTATGTATTTTTTCACGTAAACTCGCTTCGGTCTGTTTCGCTTCTTCTTTATATTTCTCATGTTCTTCTTTAAGGGAAGCGATTTCCGAAGAAGATTTAAACTCAAGCTCTTCAATGTATGTTTCGAAATCCTGGAAAGTTTTCTGGTTGTTATTGTTTTCCTTATAAATATCGTGACATTGCTTTTCAAGTAGTTCTTTTTGTTTTTCGATAGCTTCTTTCTCTCTTAACGTGTCAAAATACATATTCTCATAGTCCTGTTTATCTTTGCAGACCTCAGTAAGTGAAGCTTCCAAATTTTGTGATCGTTGTTCCATCTCAATAGCTTTTTTGGATAACATTTCGTTGTCTTTTTTCAGTTCTTCTACTAGATCAGTCATTTCCTGTTGGTTCTTTTCTAGATCGGAAATGCGACTTTGGAGTATCTCTTTTTCTTTAACACTGTCTTTGTATCTCGTTTCTAATTCATCTTTTTCTTTAACACTGTCGTTGTATCTCGTTTCTAATTCACCTTTATCTTTAAACAATTGTCCATGTTGAGTCTCCATTTCTCGAAAATGCATTTCGATATCTTTTGTCTTTCTTTCCAAAACATCTTTTTCTTTTAGAATATCCGCATGCGTAGATTTTAGATTGCTTAGTTCTTCTTGTGCAGTTGCAAGCGCTTTTTCTAGAGACGGATCTGAGTTGGGAAGCGTCGCGGATTTTGATGCCTTGAAATTTGTTTGTAGTGTATTTTCAAGGCTTTTTATACGTGATTCGTATGCCTGCATATTATTGATATATTTTGTAAATAGAAAGTAAAAAAAAATTTACGAAGAATATATATAATTTAGAATAATACCTTTAACTTTTCTTCGGCTCCTTCGAGCTCTCTCATTTTTTCCAGGAGCAGCAGATCCATGTTTAAGTTGTTATTGTTAGACGAGGTATCGTTTTCGGACACAGTTTGTCGGGTGACACGCTTTTCGCGTCGTCCAACTAACGATAATTGTTCAGCTGGTGATAAAGAAATATAAGGTGTTCGAGCTTGAAAATTTAAAAAAAAGATTATGATCAATCGATAAAAACCTTCACACAGAATTTAAAAAATATATGCAATACTCACAACTAATGATAGAGGTAAAGCCATCTTTTTTGTCGTTAAAGACTATAATGAGATCATGTAGATTATAATATGCATTCTTAAGATTTGAAAACAATTTAACGCGCACAAATCAAATGAAACTCATATTTTTAAATATAAAACATTACTTACATTGTTTCTCGACAATCCGCTGAAATTCGGCATTCATCCCTTCCAGTTGTCCAAAAGATTTGATCAGCCTGTTTTTCAATTCTAACGATGGATCATCGGGTGCCTGCGATTGCCGAACGGATTTAGTCGATTGACTTATGGGCCGTTGACTTGTGTGTGATGGAGAAATTTGTGAAATAAGATCCAAAAGTGCTATCGAATGGGTAGATAAGATTGTATTAGTTATTTAATAGTTATATCAGCTTTTCGTGAAGTTAATTGATTGTTCGTATATTGTACCTTGAATATCATCTCGAGAAACTTTCGGGAGCCGATCATCTCGAATATTTGGCATTGAAATCTCGCATGATGGTGGATTATCATCTAGTGCTAATTTAATCAAGTAATTAGTTTTATCCAAACACACCCATATATATATATATATAGCGCGCTCTCTATATTCAAGCATTAGTAAAGAATTAGCCAAGTACGAATATGCCAACCTGGTAGATTGAATGGTATATGTTTCTTAAGTTCAAGTCGATAAGCATCGCGCCTCTTTTGTTCTTTGTCGCGGAAATGAGCCATTACTTCTGCGACGACATGCGACTTTTCAAGGAGTAACTGGTTTTCGTATTATGAATAATTAATATAAAGCATATACTATGATGATATGAAATATTATTATGAATATTAAAACTTCTTACTCTAGTATATTCTCTTCTTCTCACAATTTCTACTATTGTCATTCCCTGATTAGTAAAATTTTTTTAGTTATTTAAAGAATCGACAAATAGCAGCAAATAAAACCCAAGAACCTTACGTAAGCGAGCGGTATCTGATATACATCCAGTAAACGCTTATAATCTTGTCCACGATCACGTACTTGCGTATCCAGTTCGGTCAGCATAGCTGGTATTTGAGCCAAAGAAGACTCAAGTTTTGATATTTCTTGGAGATTGGATATTAATGTTACGGTGAAGGTATTCTATGAAACAAAGATCAAACTTATTATGAGTGTTGAATATCATTATACATATAGTGAAATGGAATTTTGAAGTACCTTCCACCAAGTAAATTTCTTCACGTGCTCGCGAATGTTTTGATCTTTTTTTTCCATTTCTGTAAATTTTATTACAATATACATAGAAATTCGAAATTTAAAAAAAGGATGATTGTGTATATATTTATTTACACACCTGGTATGTACTCATTTGCATGAATATACGCGAGCTGCTCGAATGACTCGACAGTTTTTATAACTGTCGATGATAGGCTGCCGCTACTACTATTATTTAAAAGATTTGCCGCTTTGGCTTTCACACGCTCCAAATCTAAAAATATTATTATTCTTATTCTTAGATTATTCAAGGATTAAAATTAAACAAAAATTATATATGTAAATATATATTCAAGAATTTTCCCGAAACATGAAAACAAACCTCGTTCCAGCAAATCACTGAATTTCTTTATCGAATCAAATAGCTCGCGAACTTTTTGCAAAGTGGTTTCCATTGACGGAAAACTGTTCGAAAAAATTATGAAAATAAATAAATTTAATAAAAATACGAAAAATCGTTTAAATTCTACGTACTGTCCATCAAACGTTTTATTTTGCAACTTTTCGGTTCCCTCTTGCACCAATCGAACGTTTTGATTCAGATCAACAATTTGTTTTGAAAGATGCTCTATAAAGAAATTAAATTTAAATTCAATAATTTTATATAAATTTAAGTCTCAAGGTTTACTAAAAACTACAATACTCAAAATAAGAACCAACCAAAAACCTCGTGTCCTTTCTTTGCTAACGCTGATAATTCATCCACATCAACAAAATTTATTAAAGCATAAGGTATTTGTTGTGAAAATTTTGTATTGGCAGAATCTCTTTCCATGTAGTTCAGTAATTCTGGATGTATCGTTATCCGCCGCATTAATTCAAAATTTTCGGGAACACTGAAAATTTTAAATAAAAAATATTTCTAGCTTCTCTTGACACAAATAAAGCATATAAACTTGCCAAGTCAAATTCAAAACCTATTGATTATTCGATTGATTTTAGAAATTTCTTTATCAGCATTTGTATAAAATTCGCGATGAACCTCAGCTATTGAACTAGAAATTTAAACGGATATGTAAGGAGAGATTTATATCAATATTTTGTCTGAGAGAAATGCAAAGAATTCTTTTATCATATATATATATATATATATATATATATACAAACCGGTTGTGGGAATCAAGATTCTTCAGAGCGACACCGAGTGCCATCAATTGCCTTCTTTGTTCTTGATAAAGTCGTTCACATATCTCAGCATGTGTTCCTGCAGATCGTACGTATGACTAATAAATTTCCAATTATAAAACAAAATATTGGTACGATAATTTCAAGTAATTTTTTAATTTCTAGCCGATATTATTGTTGTCGAGGTTTTGATCTGATTTTTACCTGTCCTTGTACATTAAGCGCCTGAAACAATTTAATGTATTCACCGCATTCTTCTGTCGGGTTAACATTTTCCCGGCTCCTACGTGATTTTATAGAATTCTTACGAGCTGCAGCTGATGCTGTTCACAAACAGAAGTTTAGATTATTAGAAATAAATTTGCTAGTAAAAAAATAATAAATTCGTTTTCTTCAGCATACCAATTATGGGTGTTTCCAATACAGGATTCTCGCTAAGAAAATCAAAGTTTTTTATGCTGGCATCCAGAAGCTCCCTGTTAAATAAAAATATTATGTATTCATCCTAATCAATTGGAATTGTGATCGAAGATGAGTGTAAAGGAAGATTCATAATAAACATAAAGTCACAAAAACATGAAGCTAACATTATATTTATACCTTTCCCTCTGCCTGTGTAGCTTCTGCCATCATATCTGGTGCAAATTCCATTCCAAAATCTGTCATTAATATTTGCGACGCTATTGGAACACCGGAAATTGTTTCTAGTTCCGTTTTTAGAGCGTCGAATCTACAATGAAAAATCAATAATTATTTCACGATCGGGAAATCTTTGAAAGATTTGGTAAATCGTTTAACGACGATACCAAATAGAAGTTGAATGAGGTTCTATTCTTGTTGCAATTTGCTTTGCTAACAGAGAAAGGGTAACAATCGGTTTTAAGAAAATATATTTTTCATACCCATCTATAGACTTGCGAACAGCAAGTCGTTTTCCAGTTTCTGCACGAAAGAATTTCATTTCAAATATATTTCAAAGGTGTCAGCAACTTCTTTCCAATTCGTTCAATAAAGAACTTTCATAGAAATACTCCTTATAATTAAAAGTTGAAAGGGCGTGGGTTGTTAGAAGGTAAGTCGGAAAAGAAAGCAAAAAAAATTTCCCACAAATATGAATCGATGATAACGAACAAAAGCTAGTAACGGTAAATGTTTTTTTACAACAACTCGAACCCCACAAATGTTTTATCGATCAAAAGGGAAGATGATCACCAAATTGTGGTTATCACGAGTTTGATGTCGTAACTTTTCCTTGGAAAGTTCCGGAATTTTGGGATTCCTGTTGTTTTTTTGATGAATGTGAGAAAAAAAGCGATAATTGGTAAATAAATAGATGACGTATGATTTTTGAACGATATATGTCAATGATTGGAATGCATAGTTGATCGATGTGGAGGGCAAATATTCATGCATAGATTAATTAAAGCTAAAATCTTAGCATTATTCTCGAAAGCAAAATATTTACAAACAAAGCATCATTCTTATTTAATATTTGTATGATCATCATTAATAGGTATGTTCTCGAGGTAATAACGTTTTTTAACTCTATGATGATCGTCGTATATAAAGTCTCGCGTTAGCGCAGAAAAAATTATAATGCTGGTTACCATTAATAAGGATTCAAATTGGAATATTTCAGATAGCGAAAGCTTAATATTTCGTAAAAGAAGCACCCTGTTTTTTGCAACGGGGATATCCATAATGCTGGTCAAAATGATTATAATGCGGGCCAAGAGGTGCTTATTTCAGTGAGTAGCTTATTTTCCCAAATTTTTCGGTAAATAAATTTCTAAATATTTTAACGACCCCCTAATGATTTTCATTCAGCATTGCACCGACCGTCAAGTGAAGGTTTGGTGCACTTCAAGGCGGGTAAAAAACGCGTCGAAGAAGCGCGCTCTCTTTGAATTTTACATAATTATGCACAAAAATCGTTATTCTAGAAGTTAGAAAATGACGCACAATTGATATCACATATATATATATATACACGGCGCAAACTAAAAGAATCACTTTTTATTCCTCACAGTTAAAAAAAAAAATTCACACACTAAATCGAATATTTATCATGAGAATAATTGTTTATCATCATAGATAAATAAATCGAATTATAAATCAAGCTCGAGTTTATTAAATTCCCCCAAAAAATTAATCAGTGAAATATTTCAACGGGAAAAAAAATAATATCATCGATATATAATAACATTAACCCGCCACTAAATAAAATATGGACAACCCAACTCTTCTAAAGAGACAACCATTCGCCAAAGAAGACAAAGGAACTTTGGTTGAAAATTCGCCTTCTGTTGACGAAGTAGCCGTTAACACTCCTATTCCTAACACTCCAATTCCCAACACTCCAAGGAAACACCCTAATACCACTCAGAGTCCCGCAAATACTGAAACCAAGGGTCACCAACAGCAACAAAGACAGCAATCAGGCGACAAACCTAAATACATAAAAGAAACAGGATTCAATTATCGTGAATACCTAAATTACGCCACTCAAACGATGAAATCCAATAGAGCACGGAACTTTCTTCTTCTTTTCTCTACTATTATGATTATTGCTTTGCTTGCTGCTACTTACGCGCATCGACGTAGTTCTCATGGTAATTATCTTTTTTTATTTTTTTTGCAATATATTCGAAAATTTTTTACTAATTTAAAATTTTTGTGGTTTTCACTAAAAGATCCTACTAATCCGGATACTTGGACAACCAGCGAACTCAAAGAATGGCTCGCGGAACATCGTACTCGATACTACGGGATCCCTGAAAAACACGAATTAGTTGAGTTGGTGAAATCAAATTGGCCCGGCAATAAAAACGAGCAAAAGTCAGCTGCAGAGATAGCTAAAGATTTTGTCAAAGAATACGTGGCATATCTTGGAGATCGTAAGTAATTTACGTAATGGTCTGTGCATGTTCCATTTACATTGTGTTGCTGATCTTTTCTTTGAAAGGTTACGCTGAAGCTGAAGAAGTGACCTCGGATAAACTCGATGACTTTACTCGAGACATTGCCAATTCAATCGAATTTCTACGTCAGTCGACTGGTCTCACCGAAGAACAAGTCTATTCTGCGTTTGATCAAATAAAATCACAAATTTCTTACACATCATCAAAAACTAACGAGAATATCCTGTATGCACTTGACCAAGTACAAAAATCATATTACAACGCCAAAGATCAACGTGATCGACTCGTCGACGAGGCAACCAAACGAATTCAAAAAGACTATCAAAAGTCAAAACACATATCCAAAAACACAGTCAACTGGTTCCGCGATGAAATTCAACAAATGGTTAATGGCACTGGTTTTGCTGCAGCAAGAACCGAAACTCAAGTTGCGCTCATTCTTCAAGCTCTTCAAGAAGGATTGATCAACAAAAAGATCGCAACCCAAGAACAAGTAAAAAGCATCTACGCACAGCTAAACTCTGCGGTGCAAGACTATTATAAAGATGCCGAGGGAACTCTTTCAAGAGTACGCAATGAAATCCAATACGCGCTCAATCAATTCAGTCGAAAAATAGGGGAAGGCAAAAACGTGACAGTGGACCAATTCAACGAAATTGTTCAAACGATCAATCGATATTTGTTCCATCCTGTCAAAGGAGCATACGACTCTTCTACCAACCAAGTTAAAGAGACATCTCAGCACATACGAGACGTTAGTAACGAACAAATAAACAACATTGCAGAAACCGTTCGACAAGCATTCACTCCTCGTCGCGACACACCCAAAGAACAACTTGCGCGTCTCATTGAAAATCTTGAACAACAACTTATTGTTAACCAACAAATTAATGGCCGACAACTGCAAATCCTTCGACAAATCATTCGAAATCAATTCGAGAATGTTAAAGATTTGAGCGAAATCACTGAAGATAAGGTTAATGCATTTATTGCAGAACTTTCTAATCAACTTTCTGAGACTGGTGAATCCGCCAAAGATAGTGTTGGGGCTGCTACTGAGAAAGTGAAGCATAAAGTTTATTCTCTAAAGGATGAATTCTAAAATGCTAGCATTCATTCTGTAAGTCCCGAGAATGTGATAAAAATATAACTTCATTAATTAGTATTTAGTAGTAGCATATCTAACAAGCAGTTTTAAAAGAACATTGTTCTGCATATAAAATGAATCTTTATAAATTAAATTGCACGATGTATTTTAACAAAAAAAATGTATCCTGTCAAGTTCTTTTGCAATAAAGTGATTATTGTGTATATAATAACAAGGTAAACGGTGGTACATTATCTTTACGCATTAACGTTAACATTAATTCCAGTGAACACTAACCGAAGTTAATAGAAGACTAAAAATACCCGTTATTACTAAGACACGCCCCTGAATTTATGTAACATTTTTCCCAAAGAGACAGTCGCGACAATTTCTACATGTCTCATTACCTTCTATTTCATATTTTATTTACTTATCCCCTTTTTTTTTCTTATCTTCTTGTTCTTCCTGTTAAACTGGCGTGTTGCGTTGACTTTATTCATTCAATCAACGAGAGTCTTTAGTATAATTTTAAAGAAATGGAATCCACAAAGAACAATGACGCCAAGAAAAATGCAATACGAGCGCAAAAACCACTACGAGTGAACACAAAAATAACGCAACTAATAAACCACGAAAGCGCTACCGGGAATAACAGCATTCCAAGTAGCATTTCTCCCACCTTTCGTCGAACAATATTACCAAACCAGCGTCAGTCATGGGTATTTAATAAACCCCCACCAATACCAGAAACTCCTAGTGTAGTTCTTCCGACTCCTATACTAGACAAAAATGGACTTTCTGCCAGATCGAGACTGTCTATAATAATGCAAAAGGGACCAGGTGATAAACGTATCTCTAATGGGTTCCTATTTAAACCGCCTGAAATGGGGAAAGTGAACGAACAATTACCGCATTATCAAAATGAAAGTGGCCACGAGAATATGAGCACAACAACAACTACCACCACCACCAACAACACAACGACGACGACGACGTCGTCGTCATTGCCTTCTTATTCGTCACCTAGTAATAGTGAGGTGCCTAAAAGCCTTGAGGAATTATTTAGACGACCTGATAATAGTAATGAGGTTGATAATAACAATAATCAGTTCTCTGATGGTTATCGTTCAGTTGAACCAATATCAATTTTAAAAAGACCACTTTCACATGCTTCTACATCCACAACACAAGATAGTGACTACGACACACTATCAGATTCTATATACACAAGCAATCGTGATAGTATTACAACAGATAGCACTTCAACGTTGAGCTCATCTCCCATTCAGAATGATCATATAATCAGCGAACAGATAAATGTTTCACGTCATATCTCTTTTCAGCCCCTATCATTAATAAAGGAAGATAATAATCGTCGTCCTCATCGATATTCAATACCTCCTTCGAGTTCAGGTTCACCAAATAATATCAAGAATTCACGTAATACTGTATTGACATCGCGTCGAGCCTCAGTGCCCCTTTATACAAGTCTTGAAAATGTATCAGAAAATCCTTTTTCTGATGGTTCTGAAAATATGCCGTTGACCCCCATAACACCCTTTACTGTATTCGAAGAAGATGAATATGAAGAATATGAGGCCAATTATGGCGGTGATGAACCAAAAAAAGAAGAACAAATGCAACAATCGAAAAATTCTGATCCTAATTCGAATCATCCACGACGCGATTCATCATATTGTACTGATGAAAATGATGCTCTTAATTTACTTTTGCTACGATCTTCAATATCTTCTGCTAAATCAGCATCAATGCTTAATGCACAGCTGAAGAGTAGAGGCTCAGTTCGTCTAAGAATGAATTTGATGATGCAAAAACGGCATAATATCGCGTGGGAGATATTAACCACCGAACGACATTATGTTGATTGTCTTTTGCTCATACAACGAGTACGTGTATCACTTCAAAATTATAAAATAGGGATTTTATATTAAAAAAATGAGTCTTTTATTTCGGGATAACTAAATTTATACTATCACTTTCAGCTTTTTCTAAAACCTCTCCTTCAGTCGCTTTCCACCGCAAATCCAATATTAACAAAAAAATCCATCAATAAGATCTTTGCAAATTTATTGGATCTTGTAAGCTTGAATACTGAATTATTAAGAAGATTAGAGGACAGAATTATGGGTGGTTCGCAAGAAAGTACTATTGATGATGATATTACTTGGAATCCCGAGATTGGATGTGTGGGAGATATATTTCTCGATATGGTATTTTTTTTTATTTCTCATTAATCGGAGTTATCGAAAATTATACAAGACGTATAATTAATGCTATTTTTCGTGTAGGGTCCATTTTTTAAAATGTATTCGTTATATGTGAAAAATTTCAATTCGGCGCTTGCTGCTATTGATGTGCAATTACGCGAAAACCCGACATTTTCGTCATTTTTACGGGTCGGTTTGCATTCTCTCTCCTATACTTCCAATAATTAAACTTATAGCTAACGAATCTTTTTTTGCTGGGAATTTTTTTTCTTTAGGATGTAATTAAAACCGGCCAATGTAAAGGCTTAACACTACAAGCATATCTAATAATGCCAGTACAACGTATCCCGCGTTACAAAATGCTACTCGAAGATTTACTTAAAAAAACCGACGAAAATCATCTGGACTACCTAAACCTCAAAAAAGCATATCAAGTTATTGAACACGTTGCCACTTTTGTCAACGAGACCATACGACAACACGAGATGTTCATCACAATGCTTGAGATCCAGAAATCGCTGACCGGGTTCGATGAGGTTTTATTGGTGCCTGCTCGGACTTTCATCAAAAGAGGGACTATTAAGAAGGTATAAGGAAATCTTATGTCTGAGAAAGTCTTATGAATTACGAAAGAACCTTAATGGGATTCACTTTTTGTAGATTTGTCGTCGGAATCATCAAGATCGCGAGTTTTTTTTGTTTTCGGATATTTTGATATATGCTAGGTTCGTTAGTTATGTTTATCTCTCTCTCATTAACGTGGATTGATCGAATTTAACAAAAAAAAGTTAAATTTTATTAGCCCTGGTATAATTGAAAACCTTTATACTTTTCATCGAAAAATTGATCTGGAAGATGTGACAGTAATTTCCTTGGAAGATACAGCCAGTAAATATCCTCTTCAAACCTTATAAAATGATTTGAACCTTTAAATTTAGCTCATTTAACATTTCTATTCGTTAATTAAAGCTATGAAACACAGCTTTCAAATAATGAGTCCGAAAAAAAGTTTCACACTCTATACTGACACATTAAAAGAAAAAGAAGCTTGGATAAATGCCATTCGTGAAACTAAAAATGAATACCTTTGTGCGAAAAGAACTTTAAAAATTGGTAAGATATTTTGATTTTGGTATACCACGAACGAATCAAATTTGTGTGGGCTCCAATTTGTAAAATTAACAATTTGAAAAAATAGCGGAAGATAATATATCAATGGACCGAAAAGACACTTTTAAAAGAAAACGATTAGTTGAGAATTACCACGCGCCTGTTTGGGTGCCCGATACATCTGCTGATCGTTGCATGAACTGTTTGGACGAGTTCACTATTTTTCGAAGGAAACATCATTGTCGTGCTTGTGGAAAAATTATATGTCATGCTTGCTCGACTAGAGTAAGTTCTCTAAAATTCTTTGTTTTCTAAATTCTCTTTTATTCATTCGTCTAATGCGAGCATATTCTCTTCATTACATTTTTTTAAAAAGAATTTTGTTATACCTGGCTCCAGTGAACAAGAGGATCAAATTGTGCGTGCTTGTGATCCTTGTTTTTTCACTATGTTCCCTGACGCAATACGGGACGAAGATATTGCACCTGGAGTTCAAGTTTGGAATCATAAATCATCATCATTATCGGCAAATAATTCCGAAAATAAGGAAAACGATTCCATTAGTTCAAAGCGTTCGATAGAGGACTCTAGCTTCAGTTCTAGTTCATTAGTTCCTAATGTCCGAGAGTACTTTAGGGAGTCAAGTACATTGAAAAATGTAAATTTATTTTTTTTTGTTTGTTTTTATTTTGTGATTTAACTCAATTAACTGAATTTGATGATCCTCACAGTTTAAATCTATTCACGATGCGATTGTGGCAAAGCAATGCGAGTTATGTAAAGTGGATTTTAGTGTATTCAGATGGCGGGTTAGTATGCATTCAAATTTTTTGATTATAACCGCATTTTCTATATAGTAATTTGAAATAATATTAACATTAATAATTAATGGATTTTAGAATGTTTGCTTTAGATGCAAAAAAATTGGTATGTTATATTTGTAAATCTATTTTTTCTTTATTCAATATGCAAGTTATTAATTATCATGGATAATTGTTATTTTGACAGTATGTACTGTATGCCTTACCAAGAAACCAATTGATCTTACTCTATTACCCGAGAAATTCTTTTTGGAACTATTGGCTGAACAGACTCAGCATCAACAAGAATATTCAAATCCGCGTGATAGCCTTGCTAACTGTTCTATTCGACTATGTGACGTTTGTTTTCTGGGTAAGTAAAACTCTATTTTATTCAACCAGAATCTAATTATTTGGGAAAATTTAATGATGTCACTTGTCTCGAAATAAAGGAATTGAACCGAATCGAGTTATTGTGAATGAAGAAGGTGGCGGTTGGATGGTGAATGGACTATTCTCCCCTTCGATTTCTCCACCAATACTGTCGACATCACCTTCTTCAAATAATACAGAAAATTTAGAGGATGCAAATAACGATTCTTCGGAAATAACAAGCATAAAAACAACAACAGAAAGCAAAGAATATTTCGACCTTCATCCTCAACATCCTTCTCATTATCATCCCCCTCCTCTTCCTCATTCTTCTCTAATCAACGATAAAAATAGACAAGACGATGAAAAATTTGAAGAATGATAATTCGCTTTTTTTTATTTGGCGGACATTTTTTAATTTCAAATTTATGCATTTTAATGATATTGTATATTATTTGTATAATCTTAAATAATTCTATGTATATTTTTCTTTATTATGCATGTATATTATTTTTTAATGGTTTTTTTTGTATATATTATTATTATTGTATGATTTTATTTAGTAAAAGAACATTTATTACAGTTAGTAAATATTAATGCAATTATGTATAAATATGGACTTGATATACAGAAATTTTTAAATATCAATCATCATTCAAATATTAAAGTTTCTATTATTTCTTTGCACATAGAAAAAATTCTTATTTTCACAAATATTATTAATTTAAACAAATAAAAAAATCGGCTGATTTCTAGAAGCTCGCTAATAGTTATCGCTAAATCGAGCGTAATTTAATTATCGTTATGATCCGAATTTTAAATAATCTTGCTTATTTAATTGAGAATACTATCTTCCTTATCAATTAAAGTCACGTGTAATTCACATCTAACCTGTTCGGGGTTCCTGAACCGAACACAAATTATATTCACACAATCCATACAAAGTATGCATCTAAACCCTTACGAGTATGGATCATTTATATTGGCTGACGGCAATATATAACAAGTGGTCCACGACGGTGAGAATAACTGGTTGTTTAACTGTCAACTCGTTATTACAACCCATAATATACGTACGGGAACATTAATTACGTATTATTGAAAAATAATGGAATTATCAAACTAAGAATGCAAGTAGTACTTTAAAGCCTAATATACACAACACGTAGAGATGACACGAGTAAATATTATTCCCTTTAAAGCCTAATATACACAACACGTAGAGATGACATGAGTGAATATTATTCCCTTTAATCAATACGGATTTGAGGAACAGTATTTACCCGTTGAAATTCATCAAACTCTCCAGGACTTTTTATTAAATGGACAATAGTAGTTAGTATATTGGATTTATTCAAAGAATCCATTTGTTAAATCGCACCATTTTTTTGATCAAAGATCGTGTGATATGATTGTTGATAAGAAACAAATTCATGATAATCGAGAACGAGTACTCGACTAAAGTGGACAGAACATAGAGTGATATATTGATATCATCAAAAATTAAATGATTGGCCAAAGAATTGACAAAAAAAGACCGGGAAAAAGTAACGATTTTTGAGATTTTTATCAAGAGTGATCCAGAGAATGGTCCAAAGACCCAGTAAAATTCTCTGTAATCGTTTATAGACTATTGACAAAGCCATGCGCTTAAAAGGATTAATGGGAAAGGCGATGGACTTAGAATTAAAGAGAATAGCTTTGCAAAGATCAGGCTTAGAAAAATCTTGACTCTGCAAGCGATTCTCTTAACAACAATTAAAGCTGCCTAAAGAATGCCTAATAGTATGGCCATTCAATTTGGCATAGGGAAGAACCCCCTTATGTTTGGGTAATCTTGTGAAACTTCATGGCGCTGGTGAAGTAATATGTATAGAATTCAGGAACTTTTCGCCACAAATTCGTCAAGCTATACTCACCTCCCCCCTCCCCCCAAGATGGTATAATTTGATAAGAATCTTACGTCGAATTGAAGTGTATAGATCGAATGAAACGAATCTCACCTAGGATGAAATTTAAAAAAGAATCTTTCGTCGAATTGAAGTGTATAGATCGATGAAACGAATCTCACTTAGAATGAAAAAAGAATCTTTCGTCGAATTGAAGTGTATAGATCGATGAAACGAATCTCACCTAGGATGAAATTTAAAAAAGAATCTTTCGTCGAATTGAAATGTATAGATCGATGAAACGAATCTCACTTAGGATGAAATTTAAAAAGAATCTTTCGTCGAATTGAAGTGTATAGATCGATGAAACGAATCTCACCTAGGATGAAATTTAAAAAAGAAT